AAATTTTACCCGCGTCGCTTACAAAATAGTCTTTTAATTTTTCACGATCATCTTTCGCTTCGTTTGATGAGTTTCTGCCTCGGTTCGGTATATGTTCATCTAAATCTGGTCGAACATCATTTATCCAATCTGTGTACATTGATTCAGTCAAGTACATACGGCAAAAATATTGTTGAACAGCGACTCCTAGGGGATTGCAGATGTAACATTTCTTTGACTCCTGAAACTCAATGAATGATTTTATTCTGATTTTTCCTGAAATTATTTTCATTGATATTAATGCAAAAAATGCTATTGGAATTTTGGAAAAATGTGTAAAAAATAAATATTTATATTGTGTAATTAAAAATGATTCTATTGTGTTATTAGTATTTCCATTTTAATAATATTTTAATTCATTCATTCGATTGATGTATGCATTATGTGATATGTCTTAGATAAGTACTACGTAAGTACTGCTCATACTTATGCTTGACAGATCTAAACCTATTTGACATTTTTTGTTTAACTATTTGCGCGTGAATTGTTGGTTTTTTTTATAAAAAGCAGTTAAAAGCGGTTAAAAGTGTTTACACCGAAGTGTTTAAAAATGACTGTCGATGATATTTGTAAGTGTTCAAATTATTTTCGAAGATTTCTACGCGCTATTTGACTTATTTTTTAATAATATTTTTCCATTCAACCAAATAGGCGAATTGAATTATTTGGATGAATCATCGGTATTATCCAATTTAATGGAACGATTTCAAAAAAAAACTATTTATGTAAGATACAATTTTCGTTTCTTTCGACGAATTCAATTTATTTTTTTCTACTTTTCATTCTCTCTACTTTTACTATTTTTCAGACATATGCTTCGAATATTTTGATTGCTATCAATCCATATGAAAGTATTGAAGATCTGTATATAAAAGAAATCCCAAAATATAATGGAGCATACAGGAATCTCCCACCACACATTTACGCTACTGGTATCAGTATTGCTTTGCTTTAAACCGAGTTTTAAATTCAGTTGAATTAATTAATTTTTTTTTTGTATTTTCAGCTAGTGAAGTGGGGGAAAATATGAAAATTTCAAAAAATCAACAATCGATACTGATCACGGGTGTATCGGGGTCAGGCAAAACAGAAAACGCATTTCGGATAATCGAGTTTCTTTGCCGTACATCTCATAGTTCGGTTTCCAAAGATATAGCCAAATCATGTCCCATTATGGACGCATTTGGAAATGCACGTACTAGTGCAAATGCAAACAGCTCCAGGTTTTGCAAGCTCATTGAAGTAAGTCAAAATGATTATTTTTAACACGAATTTAAGATTTATTCATGTTAATATATTTTGTTCTAAAAGTTGTTCTATAATGAAGAATTCAATCAATCTGGAGCGAATATACAATATCATTTGCTAGAAGTAAATCGAGTTTGCGCAAGGAATTCACGAGAGTCAAATTTTCATGTGTTTTATTTACTGCTTTTTGGCGCACCAAGTGATTTGTTGAATAAAATAATGCTTAATTCGACAATTATTTATCAAGTAAGGCTGACTGGAATTATTTAGTTTTTATTTATTTATAACGTCAACATTTTAAATTATTGCTTGCAGTATTTACCGGACAAAGAATTTGTCAAAAATTCTTACAACGATTCAAAATTTAATGCTATTGACACCAGTCTACATAGTTTTGGTTTGACACGCGATGAAATAAATTCCGTGTATATGGTTTTATCAGCGATTCTTAATTTAGGAAATATCCAATTTGAAGCAAACGAAGACGAAAGTTGCTACATAACGAGTGTATCGGAATGTTTTTTGGATAACTCGGCACATTTATTAAATATCGACACATTTCAGCTAAAAGATGCTTTAACCAACCGTTCGAGAGAAATAAGCGGACAACAAATTAAGTATGTTTTGGATGTTCTTTTGTTGGAAAACTGAATCATTATTCATTCATTCTTTCAAATTTAGATCTCCACTGACAAAAGGCGCTGCCGAAAAAATAAGAGATAGTCTCTCTAAAAGTTTATACAATAAACTTTTTAGTCAACTAATACAATATATAAATAACTTTTATTCAACTCCGTCATCTTCGTATTCAATCGGAATAATGGATATTGCTGGTTTTGGTAAGTTTTTTAAAAATATTTTTTGTGTGAAGAAAAGTGAGTTTTTTCTTTGAATTTTTTGTCGTTTTTTTTTTTGTAGAATGCTTAACGGAAATGGATAATACGTTTGATCAGTTGTGTATCAATTATGCTAACGAACGTATGCAGGAATTTTTCATTGACCGGACGTTATTAAAGGAAAAGCAATGGTACGATGCTCAAGAACTGGATATCGATTTTGTATCTTTCTTTAATAACAACCACATTGTCGGTAAGTAAAGTATTGGCCAAATTATTTAATAGTTTAAATAATTTTTAGATTTAATAAATCTTTTCGAATAATGCTTTTTTTAATACTTTCACCAATACTAGATTTATTTCATAACAAATCGAAAGGCATCTTTAGTTTACTGAATGACGAGTGCAAGTTGTTAAACCCAACAACGAAATTATTTTCGCATAACCTGAAGCGTTTGTGGGAGAACGAGAAGACTTCACCAATTTCATTTTATGGAAAAAATTCTGAAAATATTTTTGATATTAAACATTTCACGAATGATGTCCGTTACTCTACGGTATGTCGATGATGTCAATTGCAGTCAATTGATTGTAAATTAATTTACTTGCTTTTTTTCTGTACTTTTTTCATTATTTTATGCAGAATGATTTTGTAGAAAAAAACATAGACATCTTACCGAAAAATATTTGTGCATTAACTGGAGTCGAAGCAAAATTAAAAACCTCGACCTCTGCTCAAATCAAACACGAAATAGACGTTTTAGTAGAGCACCTAAAGAAAACGGTAAGTTATAAAAAATGAATTTTTTTACAAAGTTTTCGAATTCCAGATTTATAATATTTTTTGCGATTTTAGGATACGCATTTTGTTCGATGCATTAAGCCGAACAATAAAAAGATGAAAGGAATTTTTGACAATCAATTCGTTTTAAAGCAGCTGCGCACATCAAGCACGATTGCATATGCGAATTTTATACGTTTTGGATACCCAAAACGAGTCCAAATTGATCGTTTTATTAATGCATGCGAAAAAATAGAATGGATTGAAAGTAAATTAATGAAAGTTTGCGGTGACCGTTCAAATTTTTGTACCAAAATTTTATTATCACTTGGGCTCAAAATCAGTGAATTTAAGATTGGAAAAGATGAAATATTTTTCAGTTTAAATAAGTTTGAATTAATAGAAATTTTTTTCCATGAATTGGAAACCGCAAACTACATTACTTCAAAAAGACTGCAACATTTTATCTGGCGCTCAGCATGTCACCGTGTTTGGACTGCCGTCATATTTATTCTTCGAGTGAAAAACATAATCAAAAGGAAAAAATCTGCTCTTCAAATTCCAAAAATTGAAACGGCCAATTGCAATGCTTCAGAATGTCTTGAAAAGAATAACAAAAAACGAAGTGCAGAAATTGTTACGGCCAACAACAAAGAATCAAACTGTCTTGAAAAGAATAACAAAAAACGAGATGCGGAGAGCTTGCAAGATGCAGAGGGTAATGCAAACGAAGCAAATGTGTCCAAAAGAAAAAAACAGGAGAAGAAACCCAACAATTCCCAGCGATACGACAAATTGGAGCATTTTCCGGCATTCGATAATGCCGCTAATCCAACTCGCTGCAAAAATGAATGTACCTTTAGGTCACACATTTATTGCGTAAAATGTAATGTACATTTGTGCATTATGCGAAACCGAAATTGCTTTAGAGACTTTCATCTTCTTTAATAACGAATAAAATAAGACAAAAAAACACAAAATATTCACTGTTGTTTTTATTAATTTATTCGGGAACAATTGAACATGTTATAATACATGATGAGGAGCAACAAATGAAAAACCTTGGTATGAAAAAGATAAAATTTAATAATTTTATAAAAAATTCTGCCACATGTATTTAATCGATAAGACTTTATATTTACCTCTGAGTTGGATTTTATTGTTAGCTGGGGGTTTGCATGGCTGATCAATTACTGGCATTTTGGTAAAATCATCACTAAAGTTACTTGTATCTAATCGATGTTTAATATTTGGTTTAAATGGGGCATCAATTTCTTTTTTCGCCAATTTAACCCAATCAATTCCTTTGAAGAAACGATGAGCCTTAATTTCATCAGCTCCCGCTGGGCCGGTACCTTTAGAAATTTGTTTCAATTGAAATTTTATTTGGAAATCGTTTCATACAATACGACATGTATTTTCTTTTTACTTTTTACTATTTACTTACCGATACGTTTTGTTGCTTCTTTATTCAACAATTGTGTTATTAAATCGCTAGCAGATTCGTGAATAATATTTGGCATGGGTGGGACAACGTTTAAGATTCGATATGAAATTTTATTTTCTTTGTTCGAATCACCGTGATCATCATCTGTGGTAAATGGAGATGCACCTGACAGAAGTTCATAACATAGAACACCAACAGACCACCAATCAACGCCAAAATCATATCCGCTCGTTGTACGAATTACTTCAGGTGCCATATATTCCAATGTTCCACAAAAACTATATGATCTGCCTTTAGATGCTTTGTTCAGCTGTTTTGAAAGTCCAAAGTCGGTAACGACTATGTGGCCATCGGAATCAAGTAAAATATTTTCTAATTTTATATCCCTGTAGACAATTCCTAATTTGTGAAGTTGTTCAATCGCTATCACGATTTCGGCTATGAAAATTCGCACTTCATCTTCTGTAAAGTGATCACGCTTATATAGATGAGTATATAGCTCACCACCACTTACATAATCTGAAAATCAATGTTGGCGAATAATTTCATTATTATCATCACTATCATAATCAGAATCAGAATAAATAAAAAACATCAACGGATACTAATTAAGTACCTAGCACTAAGTAGAGTTTCGATTCTGTTTGAAAGGCGTAATGCATTGATACCAAAAATGGCCTACGTCCAATTGCCTCAAGTACCTACAGAATATAAAGATATTAGAATGAAAATGTTATGAACATTTTTATCCAACCTGGCGTTCGCTTTCTGTATTTTCAGCAATTTTTCGATTTTTTAGTACAGCTGATTTCTTCAAGGCTTTCATTGCATATAATTGGCCATCATCGTTGCCACCTTTCTTTCGCACAAGGAATACCGTTCCGTACGCTGTATAAATGAAACATAGTTTATTAAATATTGAATTATATAAAAGATAATAAGGAATTACCCCCAGTGCCCAAGATTTGAATCAATTCGAAGTGTGATAAATTCACTTTATCACTTGCTCGGAGATTTGCACTGTCTGCATTTCTGACTGGCTTATCCATATTCAATTTTTTCACTATGTCCTCAATTGGAAGGTTCAAATCATTTCGAAAACTATATGCACCCAGTTCTGGAACGAAATTTCGAATGATTTGTCTTACATTCGGCAGGTCAGCATCATCAACAACAGGTCCATCCAGATCCATTGTACCATTTTCTTCGTTTTTAACCTTTGGATCGATTCGCAATTTGATTGTCTCTGTAGATAAAAAGTGAAGATCATTTATTTATGGATAGTAAACTAAATTACTACACTTACTGTGATTTTTCTTTTTTGGTTTATTTTTTCGTGAATGTTTTTTCATATGGCGCCTCATATTGGCAAGTCCCGATGTGCCAATTCCACAAATATCGCAATATTTTTTATCACGTTTTATGGGATTTTTTCGATGAGTTGATTTTTTAGTGGAAACTGGTAAAAACATTTAAAAAGAAGTTACTTTGCTATTTATATTACTTATTAGGATACTTACTTATTTTGTGAAGTTCGCTCGTTTTTGGAATCAGAAACTTATATTTTTCTTTAATTTCAGAAACATTATCTTCTATTCCTATGAAACTTTTGCATATTTTGAAATGTAGTTTTAAATTGTATGGCGTTGTGCAAGTTTTTTCACAGGCTGGACACTTGAAATAAATAAGAAATTCGCCGTGATGCTTATTTTTATGACTCAATAATGTTTTTTCATTGGCATAAGTATGATGACAATCAGCGCAATATAAATCCATTGCTAACTGTTACAAATTACTATAAAAACTATGAATATCTATTATTTAATGTCGTAAAGTAAGTTTGATTTGCAACTAAAAACCTAAAATTAAACCTATGCTATAAACAACAAATTATTGTATAGCAATTATGTTTGACAACCGATACAACTTTTGAGTTTGACAACCGACTTATGAATTTAAGTAGTGAGGTTATGTCATACAACCAAAAGTGGTCAAATAAATGTACAAAGTGTACACTGAAATATCCAATTGAATGAAACATGCTCATTTGGATCAAAGTCCAAAAAATGTTACATTCCGTTTTTCAACGCCGAACAGGAGTTGAAATGCCGAACAAAAAAAGAAACTGAAGAAATAAAAATGAAAAAAAAATATACAACATAATCAATTTATTCGTTATTCATCAATTTATCGTCTTGACTCCTGAATTCAATTTTAGGTTATGTGCCAGAAGTGGTAATCTGAATGTACAAATATGTACATACATTCTGTCATTTGAGTCTGTGAACGGTTCAGTTGGCTATACCTCGTTCATATTGTCATCTGAAATATGTTTAAAATATCCTTTATGACGTTGAGACTCAACAACTCTCCAAAAAAGTTGCAACTTCATCAAAAATTATGAATCTGATACAAATACATGCAAATTTGTCTGCATCATCAATTTAACACCTTCTTAAACCACTAGACAAGACCACACGCAAATACCGCAAAAATGCCCAAATGTTTTGCGCATTTTTTATATTGATCATTGAAGTAAACGAAACATATTTTGATAGAACGTAAAGAAGTTCGTTTACATTGATTTTTTTACTCGTGGTAGTTTTGAAAAGAAAGAGCATTTTTGATCATTTTCTCTATATTTGAATGATATTTTGTATGATTAAAAAATAACGAAACTGTGGTGCAAAATGGAGTCAACAGATATGTTGAAGAGCGGCGCTGAAATTTATATGAAATGTTTGAGTAAGTTATTGAATGAGAACTTTTTCACCACAATTTAAATTAATTTTTTGTGTGAAATTGTTGTATATTTGATTCGTTTAGTTGATTTGCAAGAGTTGAACAATTCAAGTACGTCAGGCAGCTCGTCATATTATTCGAACGTCCCGAATTACACACAGCTCAGTCATCATGTTGTATACAGTCAGCCATTTATGCATGTGACATCAACATTTGATGCCTACGAAAGTTCAACGAATGCATGTCTACAAGATTGTGGAATGTTTGCAACGCAAGGTTCAAATATTATGAATTACAATGACAGTGATACTGTTTCAGCCAATCATGTGCCATCGCCAGAACTGTATGAAAAATGTGGAAATCAAACATTAAAATATTGTAAATCAGCAGCCGTAGAAAAGAAAACACGTCGCCCCTTGAACGCATTTATGCTTTACGCAAAAGACCATCGAGAACAAATTCAGGAGATTTATTCAATTTCTGATGGCAAAATATTGTCCAAATTTCTTGGGATGGCATGGCAGGTATTGCCTTCAAATGAAAAACAAAAATATCGTGACTTGGCAGAAGCAATGCGGCGAGATCATATCAAAATGGATCCCGAGTGCTTCAAATTGAGCAAAACAAGTGGACCACGTTCAAGATCCAAATTGAAAGAAACTAGAGAAAGAAAAGAACTAATTGCCAAATTATTTCAAATGTGCGGAACAACATTTCCAGCACAAAAAGATATTCGTGCCTTTTTGGTAAGTTTCTACGTTGTGCAATTATGTTTATAAAATATACATGTATTACTTGTTCTTTCAGGAAGATCATAGCCAAATGTTTAAGGACGAGAAGTTCTTGAAAAGAAAAATCCAATTGGAACGTCTTGACGCAATGAAGGATCTATCACGATAACATTTTTTTTCAAAGATTTCATCGGAGTTACAAAATTTCAATCACACTCAATTGGTCATTATGATGACCATATTTGTTCGTATACATAACCACGTGTCGAATTCAGGAGTCGAAAATAACAATAGTAATACTCCAAAGCAATTATCTAAAATATTTGAAGTAGAAATAAAAACGGATTTTATTTTGATTATGTAAGAAATTATTATTCTCTTGTATATTTATTTCAACATTTGGCACTAATGAACATTGAATGCAATCTTATTCGAAAATCGGGAAAATCAGTCCAGTTTGAGAAGAGCCAAATCGTCGGCAAGTTTGGAAATTTCGTTATAAAGCGGACTATTGATTCGAGACACATTTGGTGGTGCTGTAGGACATGGTCTATATCTTCGAGGTGTTGAATGTAAAAATCCTTGTGTATCGTCAAGATTTTGAATGGAACACCATTCCATCCCACAGCCGCTCTCGTCCTGGTTTTCCATTTTCCGTTCCTAAAAATATTTAAGCTCCTTAATAATACAAATATCTTGTGAATGCACAGGCCATTAATTTAGGGACACTGTAGGAAAATTTTCATAGGAAAACTATATTTATTTTTCTTGATTTTTGCAAATTAAACACATTTATGCTTGAATTTTGAAAATTAATGGATAATGGTTATTGGTTCTGATTTGGTTTCTGATCGACGTTGAATCTTTAGCGAAATGTATAACTCATTGATGTTCGTCCATTTTTCGTCTACGGCGCCTATTCAGTAAAATGTGAAAATCGACTAAATTACATAAAATCCTTTAAAAAACACGAAATTAACTACACTGCGGACACTTAAGTGTAATTACTCGATGGCGACTTTCAATTCATTGTCGAATTCTTTTTTCCTTTCGTTCCTTTCATTTGATACCGTTTTTTTGAGCGATTTCAAATTCACATTCAAAACTGAAGTCGGAAGTAGCGGTGAAGGTGGTGGAGGTGGGGGAGGTGGTGGAGGTGGTGGAGGTGGTGGAGGTGGTGCTGGTGACGTGAGTTTTTCATTGGACGCCAATGGCTCTTGAACCAGCAGTTCGATTTCTTTTGAAGCCCAAGAGATTTTTTCAATTAGCTCAATAGCTTATTGAAAACAATGCAAAATAAATTTTACAATTAAAAAATTATCAAGTTTTGCACACAACAATTTTGAAAGCTACAAACCTTTAATTGAACCTGATTCAGTAGACATCGTTCTAAAAAAATGATCCAAAACTCAAATTTCTATAGAAATTGTTGATGTGTAACTGTTCTGTGATGCATGTAAAAAAATATTATGCATTTATGCTTATATTGATTATTTTGATAAATAACGGATAATAATAATTATTTGTGTTGAGTGTTTAATGGTTTTGAAGGCTTTGGTTTTTTCAAATTCCTATCGATGAGAGCCAAACTAATGAAGTTTAAGCCAAAAATATCTCACTTTTCATATAAAATCTGTCACTATTATTACATTCAAAATTGAAAGTTTATTTTCCATAACTTAATGGCTTGTACTGTATGAATAAATAAATAAATGTTTTTTTTTGTCATACCTATTTATCAATTCGATTAGACCGTTACTTGCAAAGATTACGAAAAATGTTGATGCGTTCAGCTAGGCGTTCTGTAACCGTTTAAAGAGAGCTCTCACATCGACTATCAAACACAAACCCACAGTAGAATTCTCGCTCACCATGGCTACTACGCTTTTATGCAATTTCAAACCGAATTATTTCAGGAGTCAAACCCAGAGTAGAATTCTCGCTCAC